CTAGACAAACAAAAAAAATTGAAGTTTTTTTTTTATGTTAGGACATTTATTTAGAATTCATTCTCTATATATTTGATACTATATAAATTTCTAACCAATACCTGAACATGCAAAACTGACAGATTCAATTAGGATAAGAAAATAATTAATTTGAATAAGTACACATGTTTTTAAAGCTATAAAAAAATTATAGATTTCATCGATTTTGTATTTATAAAATGACAATTTATAATTTTCATATAACTTTTCTAATTTTTTAACAAATAACGACAGTAACAAATCATTGAGCGTGCAAAATTTGCCAATATTGGTTTACTACAAAACTAGAAACAATTTGAAATAATGATGAATTTTTTTTCAATGTTTAAACTACATTCTTTATTATCCTCACAAATGTAAATATTTATGATAACTGTTTCACCTTTGTTTATTTATTTTATATGTTTATAAAAATTATATATTGAACATTTATAATTGAAGTATTTTGTTTTCTGAAAATAATAAAGGTGGGGTAAGTATGTCGATTTTTTGCATCTCTAGTTATTATGTGAAATTTTATTTCTATCAAAATGCACACTAGCTGAGTAGTTTTATATTCTAATAATAAAAACTAGCTTCTAAACTAAAGCATCCAGAAAATTACAATTATATTCCTACAATATATTATAACACCGGAATACATAAGATCATTTCTCTACATCTCTACTGATTACTATGAAATTTTATTTTAAAATCTAGTAAATATATGCATTATTGAATGTTTTGAAATAGAAATTTTTATTATTAAAATGACCAAATCCATCATGAGTTAGTAACCCTGGGTCTTTTGCAGTCACCTTTCTTCAACTTGTCCTCAGCGAAACCGTACATAAAATATTATATAAACCGCTTTGAGTCAAACAATGAATCCTTATTAGTTATTACTAAAGAATATTAAAGCCCTTTCTGGCAAAAAATTAACTAAATGTCTGCCATATTTCTCACTGAATTATTAGTAAAATAAATTTATTGTCTATATCTTAAGTAAGAATATTTTTGAATGAATTAAAAAGTATTATTCTAATTAATGTGTATACGTCTGTGGTGAAAGACAAATAAATAGCACAGTAAGTCAAATTATTAATTTTGAAAAATTTACTTGGGTATCCAATAATTGATGGAAAACTGTCAGACGAGCTGACAGCAATGATGCCTTGATTCACCATCAATTGCTGATTGCTGATTTATATAAGTTCAAATTTGCATATGCACGTACAAAGTGTCACCAGTAATTGCATCTTCCAATAAATTACTGACAGGCTTCAAGAAAGGCAGTCTGGGGTCAGACAAGATCCAGGTTCTGTCAACAACTAGGACATTTCAGCCCCATCACAAGTTTCTAAATCCAACCCCATTCACAGTCTTACTCACTTTTAATTATTTTTTATTTACATGGTGGGGCATTAAATATTCCGCCATGACCCTTGATTGGTACTCAGTATTCTGCCATCGGCTTTCTCACACTACACGTTCACGCAAATAAATACATTCACTCTCAACACAGGCTAGAGACACAAAATAATCCTGTTTTATACAAAAATCAGAACAGGGAATCCAGATACTTGCTGGCTCAAGAACGATTCTCCTATCGGGTGGCATTCCTACTCGCCCTTTGTATGTAGCCAAGGAAAATAACCTTCAATTAGTTGGAGTACTTCGAGCAACCTTTCTCTACATGCCAGACACAAGCAGGCTTTGCCCAAAAGTAAATGTCCATTAGTCAACCTCAAATGGCCTATCCTGAGTCGTGTGAGGATGACCCAAGGGCCACCTATCGACAGTGCTCTTGATACGTGAAAGTTTCTTCCATTTCCACTTTCTTTTAATCACATTTTTTCATTGCATTTTTAGAATTAGAGGGTCGGATTGCAGTGCTTATGTCTGAAGGTTGGGATGTCTCGCCTTTTCGTCACCCTCCCTTCGTGTCCAGGTACCCCCAGACATGTTATTAGAAATATATAGTGCGTATAATATAAGTACTTATTTATTATCTGTGTAATTGGATATAGCTTAGTTAAATTTATCTCAATTTTGTGCATGCCTCTTAGCCTTATTTATTGTTAGTTTTAGTCTTTAGATTCATAATTTCGTTAAATTTGTACCAAATTTTGTAACAACCATTTACGTATATGCCAAAATGCTTATATACGTTATATCAACAAAACATATTTATATGTAAAAAGCCTCAAAATTACAAATTTGTAAAATAAAATAAGGGTTTATTTGTTTCTAAATAGCACGAAACACCAAGTTAAAGTTTCAAAACTGGCTTAGGAGGCTTAGAGAAAAAAATGTGAATACATACAAAACCGGTCCCTAATGATCGATCACTTACACAACAGTTAAAAAATAAAAAAATAAATAATAATTAAAAATCAATAAATAATGGAAATTCTAAAAATTGAATTTAATAATAATAAGCCGAAGGTTATGGGTTCGAATCCCGCTCGTAACACTTACTTTTTCATTTCAACCAATAACTTACATAAAAAGATTAATTAATTGAAAACAGTTATTTGGTCAATCAGACCACAGAATATAATGGATTTAATAATAATAATATTTAGGAAAAATTATGAATTTACATAGTTAAAAAAAAAAAAAAATGTACAATAGCATATACAGCTTGGATATCCATCAGCCTTAGAGTACATAGTTTTGAACCTCAAAATGCAGCGTTATCACAGACCCGTATATGTTTAGCAGCATAATTGATCTTATTAATTATTCTTTTTTATTTAAGGTCTTGGTTGAGATGAAAAAGCTAGTGTTACGAGCAGGATTTGAACCAAAGGTCTTGGGTTCAAATCCCGCTCGTGAAGCTTGAAAGCTTTTTCATCTCAACCAAGACCTTAAATTAAAATAATAATTATCATAGTCTTCATTTTATAAAAATTAAAAATAGTTTTGACCGCCTTTTCAAAGCTTGCATAATTTTTGCACCAGCCCAACAAATAAAAAATAAAAAAAGGAAAAAAAATTGAACCTCAAAATGCAGCATTATCATACACCCATATATGTTTGGCGGCCAAAATTGACCGTAATAATTATTTCAATTAATTATTCTTTTTATTTAAGGTCTTGGTTGAGACGAAAAAGCTAGTGTTACAAGCAGGATTTGAACCGAAGGTCTTGGGTTTGAATCCTGCTTGTGAAACTTGAAAGCTTTTTCATCTCAACCAAGACCTTAAATTAAAATAATAATTATCATAGTCTTCATTTTATAAAAATTAAAAATAGTTTTGACCGCCTTTTCAAAGCCTGCATTATTTTTGCACCAGCCCAATAAATAAAAATAAAAAAAGGAAAAAAATTGAACCTCAAAATGCAGCATTATCATCTTCTTTTTTATTTAAGGTCTTGTTTGAGTTGAAAACGCTAGTGTTACAAGAAGGATTTGAACCGAACGTCTTGGGTTTGAATCCCACTTGTGAAGCTTGAAAGCTTTTTCATCTCAACCAAGACCCTAAATAAAAACAATAATTATCATAGTCTTTATTCTATAAAAATTAAAAATAGTTTTGACCGCCTTTTCAAAGCCTGCATAATTTTTGCACCAGCCCAACAAATAAAAAAAGGAAAAAAAAATTGAACCTCAAAATGCAGCATTATCATAGACCCATATATGTTTGGCGGCCAAAATTGACCGTAATAATTATTTCAATTAATTATTCTTTTTATTTAAGGTCTTGGTTGAGATGAAAAAGCTAGTGTTACGAGCAGGATTTGAACCAAAGGTCTTGGGTTCAAATCCCGCTCGTGAAGCTTGAAAAGCTTTTTCATCTCAACCAAGACCTTAAATAAAAATAATAATTATCAGTCTTCATTTTATAAAAATTAAAAATAGTTTTGACCGCCTTTTCAAAGCCTGCATTATTTTTGCACCAGCCCAATAAATAAAAAATAAAAAAAGGAAAAAAAATTGAACTTCAAAATGCAGCATTATCGTAAACCCATATACGTTTGGCAGTCATAACTGATCGTATTAATTATTTCAATTAATTATTCTTTGTATTTAAGGTCTTGGTTGAGATGAAAAAGCTAGTGTTACGAGCAGGATTTGAACCGAAGATCTTGGGTTCAAATCCCGCTCGTGAAGCTTTTTCATCTCAATCAAGACCTTAAATTTAAAAAATTATAATCTTAATTTCATTTTATAGAAATTCAAAATAGTTTTGACTGCCTTTTCAAAGCCTGCATTATTTTTGCACCAGCCCAATAAATATGTAAAAAAAGGAAAAATGTACCTTACAATGCAGCATTATCATAGGCCCATATATGTTTAATGGTCATAATTTACTGTATTAATTATTTCAATTAATTATCCTTTTTATTTAATGTCTAGATTGAGACGAAAAACTACTGATGGAAGACCTTCAGTTCAAATCTTGCTCATAACACTAGCTTTTTCATCTCAATCAAGACCTTAGAAAAAAATAATAATTATCATAGATTTTTTGTGTGAAGATTATTAATTTATTCGTAAAAACATTAAACAAATTTTGTACTATTTTATATGTTTATATCTAAGTCCTGTCAACTTGTACGAATCTCAACTTGGGGAGAAATAATTCAATAACGGGATCAAAAAGCCGAGAGTTCATTTGGGAGCCAATAGATAAAAATAGTTTAATAGTTTGGCAAGGGAGACTCCAACATCAGAATAGGAAATTGATTACATGGCTAATCTGTATAAAGGAAAGCAATCTGTATCAAATCGCCAGTTTTAAATGGCAGTGAGGTGCTGAAACGCTCCTCTACACACAAAAACAACGTTAAAACAATAAAAAAAAACTATCTGTGCAACAAACAATCAAAACACAATAACAAAAAGAAAATAGAAAAGCTATTATTAGAAGAACAAAAAAATATAAATGGGATTTAGTGGAGTAAAATGTAGCCGTTGTTAGAGATCAAAGGGGAAAATTATCGTTAATGACGATAGAAATGTTCATACTTACATTTTTGTTGTAGTACTTCGATAACATTTATTTGTAAGTGGAGAAGGTTATAACGGAATGTAAACGGAGCGACGGGTTGTCATCGGTCTCGGGACTGACACCGTTCTAAAAAGTTCAAAGTTGTAACGTCGTCGTCGGCCGTAAGTCGCATGCGCGTCGTGGCTATTTTTGAACTTTCCTACAACAAAGTTATCTGGCGCGGATGCCGAACAAGTTCGGAACATGGACGCAGTGAGGATGCCCGGTAGAAAAACTTTTGAAGAATTGGAACAAAAAAAAAAGCTCTCATGTACGGGTATAAATACACAAGGCCGTGGTATAATTTTTTCCCTCCAAACTTTTATCGTTCGAACAAACTCTGCCAAAAAACTTAAACTATGCAATGAGTAAAAAAAAATTCAAATATTCTTTAGATTAAAAAAAAACTGTATAGTCCGGAACGATTTAAAAATACAACAAGGTGTGAAGTGGTAAAAAAAGCTATCGCTCCTTTGGTTTTTATTTATTGAAAGTTCAACTTGGTGGGAAGAGTTCAAGTTTTTTTGTTCATGTCTCATTATTTATTTTTATTGGAACCAGAGAAATTTTAGTTTTCATGGTGTGATGTTAAAAAAACTCTCAACCTTTGTTTTTTCTTTTTTTATTGTGAAAGTTCATCTTGGTGGAAGTTCAGAATTTCCTGCCTAACAATAATTATTGCTTACAATTTATTTTTATTAGAAAGATGATTTTTATTCTTTTATTCTGAAAGTTCAACCTGAAGTGAAAAGCTGAGGTATTTTTATCTTTGTTCATGTCTTTTTTTTAAAATTAATATTTATTGTAACTGGAGAAATTTTAGATTTTTCAAGGTGTTAAGATGTTAAAAAAGCTCATATCATTTGGTTTTTTATTGAGATAGTTCACCTTGGTGTAGGAGCTCAGATTTCATGCCTAATTATTATTATTATTATTGACGATTTATCTTTATTAGAAAGATTTTTTAATATTTTTTTATTGTGAAATATCAATTTGAAGGGAAGAGGTGAGGTTTTTTGGGCTTTGTTCATGTCTAATTTTTTTATATTAATTTTTATTGTAACTGGAAAAATTTTAGACTTTTCAAGATGTGAAGATGTTAAAAAAAGCTCCATCCTTTGGTTTTTTTATTGTGTTAGTTCAAGTTTGTCTAACAAGCTAAATTATTATTATAATTGTGGATGTTCAACTTGGTAGAAAGTGCTCAGATTTGTTCATGGCTAATTACTATTTTGTTTTATTTATTTTTAATTGTGCATGTTCAATTTGTTGCCTAGGGCTCAGGTTTGTTTATGTCTAATTATTATTGTGAAAGTTCAACTTAGTGGGCAAAGCTGTTTTTTTCACGCAATTTTTTTAAAATTTTTCAGGGAAACTGAACTTTTTGATGTGTGAAGATGTGAAAGAAAGATTTTTTTAAAATTTTATTATTATTTTTCAATTGTGAAAGTTCAATTTGGAAGAACTCAAGTTTTTTTATGCCTAATTATTTTTAAAATTAATTTTTATTAGAAAGAGTATTTTTTAATTATTATTTTATTGTAAAAGTTGAACTAAGTATTGCTCAGCCTTTGAAATCATATTTTCATGTGTGTGTCTGCTATGCTAGGAATGTAATTAATTGCTTTTTTTCCATTCTTAGGTAAAAAGTACTGAAATAAATAAACTTTGTACTATAAAAGTTAATAAATAAGTATCAAAATGAATAATGTACTGATGAAAAATAAAATGGCGATTTTGAATGTAATTACCAAAAAGTTTTAGAAGTATTGTGCAACCTTTGAATTTGATATTTTCATACTTAATTTAATATATTTTAATAAATAAACCAAAGAAGTTTGGTAAATAATTAAACATTATGTGTTTTTATATTTTTGCTGTCGTCCAGATTGAGAATAGGAAGGTTGGCAGCGTTGGAGCTGAGTAACAGTCAACGTAACTTCCCCATATTCCGTTATCAGCTTATCACATTCACAGTCTCATTCCTTCCTTTGGCCAGTGGAGACACTTTCCTCTCGGCCCGTTTCGTTCCTATTTGCGATTACATAACAGAACGGTGGACTCTGCGTTCTTCGAAAATTCCAAACTCGGACCGATTTCATAAAAGTCGATAATTAAAATTCTATAATTATTTATAAACGAGTTATGACTTTTAACATCTATGGGTGATAAAAGTATTGCGAGTAAGGCGTCAACGAAGATTCATCTATTTTGGGAGTCGTTCACCAAAGCTGAAAGCAACTCGTACGAGGTATTTGGCCCTTTTTTTTAAGAAAAAAAGAAAGATAAAAATCATGAGCGAGTCTCTAAATGTTTCTCCAAAACTAATTATGAACAAAAATAATCAATTATAAACAAATTAACACATATTTAAAAAAATTGTTAGAGTAGAACTTCCTGCCTTATCTAGCAACTTCCATGTTTACCCCATTGTCTGGTATAATTTTGCTAACGTTGTTATTTAAAAAAAATCAAATTTGAATTTTGTAATAAATTGTTTTTTTAAGTCGAGTTAAAAAGTTCAATTTTACACAGAAAAAAGACGAAATCTTGCCATTGTTGAATGAGGGATTTGCAACATCCTGACAAGTTAGGACAACGCAGGCCGGATCGGATAAATGTCTTAACGTTTGACCCGTTAAATAAATATTTTCTTTACATTCAGGGGGAATTTCCGTTAAATCAAGACAACTATGGACAACAAAATAGACAAACAAATCGATAATAATTAGAGTAAATAAATCAAAATTGAAAAAAATTGATTTCGTGCCAGTTGTAATGTCGCATTTCAGGTTGAAAAGTAAAAGAAAAAAAAATTTGAACAAATTTTGACACGGATTTTTAGGATCAAATAGTCCAAATAAAAAAAAGTAAATAATCTCTAATGGTTTGTCAAAAATGTCCAAAGAAGAAAGTACGGAAACGGCGAGATCATACGGACCAAAATCAAAAAATAATTTTATTGAAATGAATTTTCAGAGCCTCGTAACACAGATTGTTAAAAAAAGAAAGAAATATTCAATTTAACTAGATAATTTATTTAAATTTACAATTACAGTTAAAGGCCGAAATGCAACTGTTGATTGATTTCATCAATAAAAATAAAATTGTATTTTATTTTTTGTTTGTTAATTTAAATATCTAAAGGATAAGTTGCAGTTTTTCCGCTTTTCATGTTTGCTATCGTTTGATTCATGATGTAGAGCGAGGCCAGACGGACCATTGTTGATCGAGGGAAAACTCATTTTTATATTCTTCTCAACAAAATTTGTCAAAGAAAAACTTTTATCAAATCGAATTGAACGTTTTTGAAACCAAAAAGAACTATTCATAAATGAAATTAAAATGGACTTTTTCTAAATAAAATTCTCAAATAAAAAAAATAAAAAATCGAATTGAATTGTTAAAAAGAAAATTGAATTTTTAATAAATTGAATTGAACTTTTTCAAACTAAATTTAACTTTTGTCAAAAGAAAATCAACTTTTGAACTATCAACCCGAATTAAACTTTTTCAAATCAAAATGAAGTTTTTTTTTTAAATTTTCAATCAATTAAATTGAACTTCTTTTTTCAAAACAAAATAATCTTTTTTCAAACGGAATTATATTTTTTCAAAACCAATTTCTAATTTTTCGAATCAAAGTGAACTCTTTCAAATCAAAAAGAACTTTTCCGAGTAAATTGTTTTTAATAAATTAAATTGATTTTTTTTGCAAAACAAAATCTTTTATCAAATTGAATTAAACTTTTTCAAATCAAAATTAACTTTTTTCGAACAAAGAATTTTTCGTGAATCAAATGGTACTTTTACCAAAACAAAACGACCTTTTTTCGAGCAAAATATATTTTTTTTAACCCATCAAATTGGACTTTTTCCTGAGTAAAATGAACTATCAAACCGAATTAAGCTTTTTCAAATCAAAATTAATTTTTTTCCCGACAAAATTGAGTTTTTAATAAATTAAATTACTTTTTTTTTCAAAACAAAATCAACTTTTATCAAACCGATTATATTTTTTCAAAACCGATTTCTAATTTTCCGAATCAGTGCACTTTTTCTAAAACAAAATTCACTCTTACCAAAAAAAATCAACAATTTTCAAATGGAATTATTCTTTTTTAGAAGCAATTTGTACTTTATGGATCAAAATGAATTTTACCGTACCAAAACGGACTTTTTTCAAACATAAATGAAAAAAACAAAACCTAATTGAAATTTTATCAAATCAAAAAGAACTTTTTCTAAACAAAATTGAATTAAAAAATCAAATTGAAATTTTCCCAAATACAAATGAACGATTCCCAAAAATGGACCATTGTTAAATGAAAATAAAATTGAATACCAAAAAGAATTCTTCGGTAATTCAATTAAAATGGACTTTTTCTAAACAATAGTCAAATAAAATTGTAAAAAATTGAACTTTTAAAAAGAAATCAAATTATACCGTTTCAAACCATATTGAAAATTTTCCACAACAAAACCAACTTGTCAAACCGAATTAAACTTTTTCAAATCAAAATGAACCTTATTCGAACAAAATTGAATTTTTAATTATTCAAATGGAACTTTACGAAATCAAAATAAACTTTTTTCAAGGAAAATTGGATTTTTAACCAAACGAATTAAACTTTTTCGAATCAAGATGGATTATTTTTCGACCAAATCGAATTTTTAATAGATTAAATTGAATTTTTTTGAAAACAAAATCAAATTTATCGAACCGAAATATATTTTTTCAAAACCAATTTCTACTTTTCTGAATCAAAATGAACTTTTCCATTGCTTGATGATAGCTTTTTTCAAATAGAATTGAACTTTACGCAACCAAATCATATTTTCTCTATCTGAATTACACTTTTTCTAAATCAATTTCTACTTCTCTGGAACAAAATGAATTTTACCAAATCAATACGAACTTTTTCAAACAAAATTTAAAAAAAATGAAATTGGACTTTTGTCAGATCAAAATGAACTTTTTCTAAACGAATTGAATTTTTAAAAAATTAAATTGAATTTTTTTCAAAACAAAACCAAATTTCTCAAAACAAAATATATTTTTTCAAAACCAATTTCGCATGGTTTATTTTTAGGAAAAGTTCATTTTGATTTGGAACAAGTTTAATTTGATGTGGAATAAGTTCGATTTGTTTTTAAAAAACTTCAATTTCGTTTGGGAAAAGTTAATTTTAGATTTGTTAAAAGTTCAATTTGATTTTTAATTTAGTTTGAAAAAATTAATTTTGTTTCGGTAAAATTCACTTACTCCAGAAAAGTAAAAATTTCTTTTGAAAAAGTATAACGGCTTGAAAAAATTGATTTTGTTTTGGTAACAGTTCACTTTGATTTGGAAAATTAAAAATCGGTTTTGAAAAAATATAATTCGGTTTGAGAAAAGTTGATTTTGATTTGGAAAAAACTTCAATTTAATTGATTAAAAATTCATTATTGTTCGAAAAAAGTTCGATTCGATTTGAAAAAGTTTAATTCGGGATGGCAAAAGTTGATTTGGTTTTGGAAAAAGTTCAATTTGATTTTTTAACATTTTTATTTGAGCATTTTATTTAGAAAAATTCCATTTTAATTTTATTTACACATAGTTCATTTTGGTTTCGAAAACGTTCAATTTGATTTGATAAAAGTTTTTCTTTGACAAATTTTGTTGATAAGCATATAAAACTGATCTTTACCTCGATCAACAATGGTCCGTCTGGCCTGGCTGTACATCACAAATCAAAAGAACAAATATGAAAAGCGAACAAACTGAAACTTTTCCTTTAGTAGAAAGCTCACAATTTCGGCTTGTAAGTTTAAAAGCTTATATTAGTTTATATTAGTTAGTTATAAAATATTTGTATTAGTTTTACAACTTATGTTATTGTGTGCCTTTTGTAGACATTCTAGCCCTGAAAAGAAGAAATAAATCTTCGAAACGTCAGCTTGAAATCGATTTGTGTTTCTTACAACTTGTCCGAAAAAAATTATCCACATACTGATGGATGATATCCACGGTCATGAAATTTATAGTTTAATAGTTTAATTTGAATGGAAAAAGTTACATTTGAACTAGAAATTTTTTTAAAAATTATGCATGGATTGTAACACTTTTAGCTTCATTTAGTAATGAAGAGCATTTTTATAAATTGAACATATACTTTATTAAACGCATTTCAAGGAAGGTGAAAACGTATCTAAACTTATTGCAACGACGACACTTTTTTATCGTCATAAATAAATTAAAGTATTTATATCGAGTGCCAAGTAAGGATAAGAACTGAAAGGACGAAGCCTTTTTTTGACTTTTGATTTCGTAATTTAGATTTCATAATGAAACTTAAGAAAATCCTACAACTTTTCTATGACATCAGTGGATTCCATCAGTTATTGACGTTTCCTGACTTATTTCTGGCTAATCATCATCGTCAAAGCTGTGACGATGGCCCTGCTAGGGTGACCATCCTAGCTATCCCATGGACCATCAGGATACGGCTTGTTGGATAAAAAGTGAAAAGGAGGGCTGTTTTGAAGGAAAGAAAGATTCCTCATTGGTGCCCAGTATTCCTCGATGGATTTCCGGCAAATCATCGTGAGGATCTAAACCGTGATGATGATTACTTACGGTGGGCATCTTGGCCAACCCATGGAACCACAAGATATGGGTTAAAACAGGCTGAAACTACAAAAAATCCTATAACTTTTCCTTGACACCATATATCTTCCCAGCTATTGATGCTTCCTGGCAAGTTTCTGGGTAATCATCATAATCGTCAAAGCTGTGATGATGGCCCAAGTAAAGTGGCCATCTTTGCTAACCCGTGGGAACCTCAGGATAGGTCCTTGTTTGATAAAAATGTAAAGGAGGGCTGTTTTGAAGAAAAGAAAGCTACCTCATTGGTGCCCAGTATTTCTCGATGTATTTCTGATGAATCATCATGATGATCTAAACCGTGATGACTGACTTACGGTGGGCATCTTGGCCAACCCATGGAACCACAAGATATGGGTTAAAACAGGCTGAAACTACAAAAAATCCTAAAACTTTTCCATGACACCATATATCTTCCCAACTATTGATGCTTCCTGACAAGTTTCTGGGTAATCATCATAATCGTCAAAGTTGTGATGATGGCCCAAGTAAGGTGGCCATCTTGGCTAATCCGTGGAACCTCAGGATACGTCCTTGTTTGATAACAATGTAAATGAGGGCTGTTTTGAAGGAAAGAGAGATACCTCAATGGTGCCCAGTATCAT